GCAGATGACTATCACATAAGCAGTGTACCCTGATACAGAGCAAAGAGGAAGGGGAGTCCACTTTCCACTTCCTGGTGGGACTCAATGAACTGGTTTTATGGCCAAAGAGCTATTTATTTCTGTTGTAAACTAAATGTGGCTTATGTCTGTCTGGCCTTCCTCTAGTGGTGATACAATATTTTATCTGAGCCTCTAATAACAGGGATTATTTACATAACTCTTTAAATATTTACATGTTAATGAAGTATGTTTTTTAATACAAGGCTACCTTTTATTTCTGTTTGAATACTATTGCAAACAACTGCTGTTTGTCCTGATTTACAATCAGGCTAATCATTGAAAATATGACAGCCATGTAGGCTTATAATCCATAAAACATGAGAGATTCAATACTTTATGTGTGGTTTTCTTCATTTTTGGTTCAGATGAATGATCAGAAAAGCTGTAGTTTTTTCATAGGACTTTTAAAGTGGAATTTGAAAAAGAGTTTTAAAACCACTATCAGAAAAGGGGAAGGTCTGTGATGGCTACTCTGTATTGACCTTGTTACTATGGAAACGCCTTTTTAGTGGTTGTGTTTTAAAAATAAAACACAATTCAATTTCCTTTTCCATAACTCATAGGGCCATAAATTCTGCTTTCTGATATGATTTCAAATATGTCACCGTCCAATGACTTTCACTGCTTTTTGGAAATTATGTTCAGTTTTATTGTATTTTCTAACCTTTTGCTTTCTAAAAACTAGGTGGCAAGGCAATTTAATTGCTTTCCAGAAAGTGTGCTAGTATAAAAATGCAATAACACAGTTCTCCCTTTTATTTCATTTTTTTCTAACTGGAATCAGAGGCATTATAGCTGTGAAAACCTTCATTCAATGCCTCATTAATATTCAATTCTTTATATTCAAAATGGAAATTATAATATGCAGTCCAAATTTACAACTATTTTCCCTTCATATGACATCTCTTTTACAGCATTTTAATCAATAGTGTGATATTCTAAACATAATTACAAAAAGTGTATGTACACTTTCAACAGGCATTTTTGCATATAAAAAGTCTTCCCCAAGGATCTCAACACACATTAGTTTTCTTAACCCCTATTCAGTCTAACCTTGAAATTTTACAATTTAATGCTACACATAAAGAAGAACTACAGGGGATTAGAGAAAGGATTGGAAAAAAATGGGTAAAGACAAAGGAAGAGTAATATTTGAGGAAGGGAATGATTAGT